CAACTCTAAGTATTTTTAAAAAATTAATTAAAACTCTTTCTACTTATGCCCAACCCTGTATGTATCAGATGCTAACCGGAAGTCTACATGAGATACGGTTCGAGTGGCCGGAGAAGCAGTTGTCGACCGACGGGTTGAACAACAATATGGAGGACAGAACTGGAGGGATGAAAGTGTTGGACGAGAACGTAATGAAGACTAATGCTGTTGCCTATATTAATGGTTAGTTTTGGTGATTCAAATGATTTGAATATATGGGGCGATGTATGCTGGAAAAGCGCACTACACTATGAGCTCACGCTTTTCCAGCATACATCGTCTCATATGTCTTAACCAAATTGTTTCTCAATTGTGTGCCAACAGATGAGATGGGTTTGCATAGAGTGGAGAACCGAAGCCATACCTATCGGGCGGTTTCCCTACACCTCTATATACCGCCGTATTCTATGTGTCAAACGTTTGATGAGAGGACCGGACATCGAAATGAGGCTAAAGTGACTTTCTATAGCAAATACGGCTCAAGAACTCCATTCAAAAGCTCTAAAGAGATCTCCAAATAAAATTTCATGAAAATTCATTTAATAATACTTTTATTACATTATTATTTTAATTCTTATGATTTTATATAAATATTGCTTTTAAATGACTAAATATAATATGTTTTATGTATACATATGTTGTAACGAATATGATTTTTAAAAATTACTTTTTATTGCAATGTATAGTTATTTGCACACAACAAGAAAAACATGTAATATTCAATACAAGAATATATTAATTTTAATCATTGGTTAGAATACTGTATGTAATAAACGATGTAATAAAATTTCTTGTTGGATTTAATTATAAAACATAAATAGTTTGTGTTTAAAATGATAGGGTGAGCATGTTGACGCATTACACTAACAATTTTATATTGCTTTTTACTATGCTAATAAGATATTTATTAATACATATCACGGTATTCAACGTTAATAAGTATAACAATACTGAAGGGATAATGAATTTAAGCTAGAAAGATTCATTGACGTAAAGCACTCGCCGTTTGCGTTCGTGCCGTTCGGGTGCGGCCCTCGACAGTGCGTTGGTATGAGGTTTGCCTTAAATGAGATGCGTTTATGTATTGCTAAGACTATACATAAGTATGAGTTTAGTCTCGCGCCTGGATTTAAGGCACAAATAATGTTATACTTAATTGTTTTGATTAATTATTTTTAAAAATTTAATATAATTTATTGTAGTTTAAAACACCTCTGCATAAAAATCAACTTATATTGTACGTATTCACGTGTATAAAAATCAAGAAACTGAATTTAATTTAATAAATTTTTATTTTTATTGATTATTAACTATAAATAATTAACAATAATTAACTACAGTTTGCCCCAGGTTTTGACACAGGCGATTTTAACAGATTTCGGTTTTAACACTAATTTTTTGTTAGCACGGGCGAACCCTATGCATACTATAATGTTAAATGATTCCGGTTTTAACAGATTATTTTAACAGATTTCGATTTTGACAGCCAATTCTCTATCTTTATAGCATAAACAATGCTTTAATTTTAACACATTGAATACTAAAAAACTTTTTTTTTGGTAATAATTGTTAATTTTATATTATTCTTATACAAATAATAGACTTAGAAAAGGTTATACTTTAGAAGTAATATACAAAAACATTAAATTAAATAACTTAAATATTATTTTACTGCAAATAAAGCCATTTTCGTTTTTAACAGAATTCGATTTTAACACATATTTTTTACAGCACCGATGAAATGTCAAAACCGGGGGCAAACTGTATTTACTAAATTTGACATAGTATTGTCTGTAACGTTATGTCATTTTATAGAATATCTACGTTAAGTATGTGCTTTATGAGAGTTTAACGAGAGTCCAGGAGAGCCTATTTCTGTGTAATTTATACTCTATTCATGTGTTACTCATATATTTTGTACATTAACATAAGGAGTGGGGTTTTTAATGAAAATGTTATTTATTTATTGTAAACATAATATAACAAAAGGGCACATGAGTATTTCTCTCGAATACAATTCTTAATAATTGAAAATAATGTTAAAACTCATTCATAGTATTTGATAGCATTTGTCATAAAAATCACAAAAATGAATGTTTTTCAATGCGTTGAAATACATTTTTCAATGCTTAAGTTTAATGTCATAAATGAGTTTTAACATTATTTTCAATTATTAAGAATTGTCTTCTAGAGAAATAATCACATGATAACTATAATAAATGTAACGATTATAGTGAATAATAGGTTACAAAGAGGTTGTCATTTATTCCTGTCCCGTCGTTTCGTCCCGTCAACGACTGGATGGCATAAAAAACAAACAAAAAAAATTCAAATTAAAAATATTACCGATGATCCGTCGCTATGTATGCGGTGTCCCGTCGACCCAAATGCCGATCAGAATTGTCCCGTCGACGCATAAAATTTTTTCAATAAACATTTGGTTTATTAGTTGAGTTTTATGTAGAATTTAACGCCGAATCCGAATTTAAAACTTTAAATATTCTATCTCGAATATTCTTTGAGTTATTCAAATTTTAATATTTTAAAGTCGAATAGCTCGAAATATATCTTGCTTATTAACAAATGGTTTCATATTCGTAATCAGCGTTAAAATCTGCATCGAATTAATATATAAAATTATTAATTTATTTTAATTAAAAATTTTGACGGGAGACGACGGGACGGGACAATAAAAGACTGGAATAAAAGTTATCATCTTTATTTAGAATTTAACGCTGATTACGAATATGAAATCCGTTTCTGAGTAGGCACGATAGATTTCGAGCTATTCGACTTTAAAATATTAAAATGTGAATAACACAAAGAATATTCGAGATAGAATATTTAAAGTTTTAAATTCGGATTTGGCGTAAATTCTACATAATATTCAACTAATAAACCAAATGTTTATCGAAAGAATATTATGCGTCGACAGGACAGTTCTGATAGACATTTGGGTCGACGGGACTCCGCATACATAGCGATGGATCATTTATGTAAATTTTTGTTAGTTTATTATGCGATCCCGTCGCTGACGGGACGAGACGGGAATAAAAAACAACCTCGTTTACAAAATATCAAGGTAACCCAAACAACACGTCAGGTTATAAAGAGCTAGAGCACCTTCTTAATCTACGTTGTATGTGAACACGTGTAGATTGGAGGCTGCTTTAACATTGCTTCTTTGAAACAAAATGTATACAATATGATAAATTTTTACATTTTATTTATTATTATTATTTTTATTATACTACTATTTATTACAATACAGTAATGTCACTACATATATGCCATGAATGCTATACTATTTCTATGGATACTGTTTTGCAAAATTACTATCAATATTATTTGAGACCGGATTATAATAGTATAGAAAAGGGTTCATAATATCCATCTCTTGTGTCGGACAGTAAACTTTTAACGCTTCCCAGTCTTTACCTATTAATTGCAATTTTTATTTTATATTTACAGTCAGAACTCTGTGTTGTGAATAGATCGGGTCCAGGGCTTTTGGTTCATAACAAAAAGATGTTCACAACATAGAGGTTATTTTAACATTAAGTCTATGTTAGTCTTGTTTTGGTTTTTGGTTCATAACATAGAGTAGTTCACAGCATAGAAGGTTCACAGCACAGAAGTTTCACTGTATTTAAATAAAATGTATTAAAACTTACAGTAAATCATAATTAATGCTATCAGTCCGTAGAGAACTACACAAATTAGCACAATTGCCAGACACTCGTACACCTTGGTTATTTCCATTATTTTATTATTATTAATTTGTTTAACTAATTTTAATCATAGATAATTTTTAATAGCTTTCAAACTCAAACTATTTTCGTAAATAATGTACTTTATTATAATATTAAAATAAATATTGCAATTTTGCAATATCTACTACAAAAGAGTATAAAACCATTTATTTTAATATTATTATATTAAGTTTAAAATTATTAGTGATTGTCAATGTATGGATGTAAAGACTTTATAAACTAGTTTAAAATACTATCCTTTTATGATTTATAATTGAAAAATATTTGAAAAATAATATGAAATTAATATGTCATAATTTTAAAATTATAAATACAGTATAATATTCTATGTCTTAAATGTGACTGCAATGTTATAAAATTAATAGTCTATAAAATATAAATTTATTAAATGATTTGCCAATTATCCATGATTTGATAGAAATGACTCTTATATGGTATTTAATTGCATGCATTCCTAATGCGATAAAAATAAATAATTATTATAAGAGTATAATTAAATTTATGATATTTAAATGTCAAGCAATTTATTGTATTGATGTTAACATTTATGCGATCAATTTGTTAGATAAATATGTAAACACATTTTATTGCTATATTTAACGCACTTTTCAGAAAATAAATAATTATTTGCTAATATCATAAGTATTGGTCTAAATATACAATCATATTATTTCTATTGTAACAATCAATTTAATGTATTTCACAGTTGTATACATTATTCATATCTAATATCTATAGATATGAATAATTATTTATTATTTGAAAAGTGCGTTCGATATAGCAATAAAAGTTGTGCACATGTTTTGTAATCAATTGCTCGCATTAATGTTCACACTAGAAGATATTGGTAGAACTGTTATATAAGCGGCCTAACTATGAAGCCATGTACATAGAATTGTAAAATTATGTTCATTTCTCTCGAAATCATACTGTTCAAAAACTATTTATTCGATCTAGATGAAACTTGGATTCTGATGTCTATGGTAACTTAATTAAACTAAGTTTACAATTCATATTTAGGCCACTTATATATCAGTTCTACCAATATATTCTAGTGGGGTGAACACTAATGCAACAATTGATAACAAAACATGTGCACACCTTTTATTGCTATATCGAAAGCATTTTTCAAATTATAAATAATTAATAATTATTAATTATTCATATTTTCGATTGTTATGAATAATGTATACAACTTTAAAATACATTAGATGTAGTGTTACATACTTTAAATTATCTGTCTTTTAAAACTTACATTGTATTACTTAATTTTAACAAATATTTAAACTCACACATAACGATGTTATGGTTAAACACAATTCGGGAAATGCATCAAAGATTTCAAATTATGATTAAAAATATAATTTTTGATTAAAAAATTTATTACGAAATGCCCTTTCATTCAAGTATAGGCGGAATAACTATTATTTTCGGCCGGAGATAAATATAAGATTGGTTTATTTCTATAGTCTATCATTCAATTCCAACTTTTAATGTAAACTTTATTTAGTTTATCATTTTAATATAATAAAGTAAATGTTACAATTATAGTCATTTTCTAGTGATTCTAGTTTTTACTGAATTTAATCTCGTCAATTAACAATTTTGTTACACAAAATGTTACCAATTTGTAACACTATATTTTGGGTAAGTTTTAATTGCATGATTAATTTGAATGTGAAATAAAATGTTAATTACATTATTTGTCAATTAATAAGGATTGGGATCTTTCGTGGAATAGCGAAAACTTTCCCGAATTTAGCCCATGTTTT